TATTTGCCCGGGGCTGGCTTCAAACCATGGTCCTCCTGTTCTCTGCCTCCTGAGTAGCTGGGATTGCAGGCGGGAGCCACCAGCACCCGGCAGGAAGGACTTCAAATGACCCGTCTGCTCCACTGCTCATTCCGAAGGCTGACACCTCTTGAATCCAGGGCCTGGACAGACCTGTGAGAAGGGGGTGCAGGGCTGGGGGGTGGCTCAGGGGTACAACACTTGCTGACTGAGCATATGCAAGGCCTTGGGTTCCAACCAGCACTACAAAAAAGTGCATGACTTTGCATGAGGTCTGGGCCCACCGCTAGCTGGCATTTCTTCAGATTACGAGTGGACTTTCTGAGGGGGACAGCCCTGCCAGCTGTTAAGATGCTGGTGGAGCATCTGGTCTGAGTGTCACCTGGGCCAACTCTCTACCCCTCTGTGTAATCCCAGCTACTCAGGAGGCAGAGATCAGGAGGACCATGGTTCAAAGACAGCCCAGGCAAATAGTTCCTGAGACCCCCATCTCAAAAAAACCCTTCACAAAACAGGGCTGGTGGAGTGGCTCAAGGTGTAGGCCCTGAGTTCAAATCCCAGTACCATGAAAAAAAAAAAAGGTCTTCCATTGTGCCCTGGTTCTGACTGCATCATAGGTAGGATGACCACTCACCTGAGGCAAAAGTGGGGACTCCGAATGAGACTTCGCCTTCAGAACTCACAGTGACATGCCACTCCGCAGGTGGGACCTTTAACCTCTCACTGCCGCATAGGATGAGGGTGTCACAGGGGAGAGCAGAGCCCAGAGGGGCCAGGGATGCCCGTGAGGTGTTCCCTTTCCGCCCCATCCCGGTTCTTGTCCCCCCCCCCGCTAGCTCGGCCCTGTGCAGATCTGGAGCTTAGATTTGAGATTCTGTCTTTTGTACATGAGAAAATTGAGGCTCCATTTGACACGCGGGGCTCTGAGAGGACTAGCGGGGCATGGCGCCCTCTCTTTGGGTTTGACGGTGTCATTTGCTTTTGTTTTAACTTTAGGATGAACTGGACAGATGCCGCTGTCCTGGGGTGGGAGGACAGCCACGGGCGTCCAACCTCACAGTGACAAACTTGCCATGAACACGCCTGGTAAGACAAACAGTCCTCTCCGGGGACACTTTCCCCATGCAGGGGCACTTTGCAGAGATCGGGACCCTGCAGTCACCCAGGTGCTGGTCACCGTGATGACAGAAATGGAGAGGTAAATCAACACCTGCCTATTCCCCAGCCTGTGACTCTGGGCACTTCAGACAAGGCCAGGGAACTTGACTTCAGTCCCCACGCAGTAAAATTAAGAGGCTTGGGGGCTGCCACTTTCAACAGGGTGACACCCTCACATCCAAAGGCTACAGTCACAAAGACACCAACCCGCCAGTACATTCTGTATCAGCCGGTGGTTACTGCACCCGCTGCGTAACAAGCTGGTCCAAACCCAGTGGCTTCAAACAGGACTCGCTTCTTCTCGTTCTGCTGGCTTTGGTGGGTCCGGGAATCAGCCGATCCAGGCTGGGCTCAGCGGGCTCCACGGAGTCCCCACTGCCTCTGCCTTGCCCCCTCCTCTCCCTCGCACAGGAGGCTCCCTAGGTGACAAGGGACAAAGAAAACCCTGCAAGGACCGTCTGCTTACATCCCACCTGCTGACGTGTCATTGGCCAAGGCCAGTGGTGGGGCTGGGTCACTTCTGCCACTAGGAGACCTTAGACTACACGGACAGCCCTGAGAAGAAAGGGGAGGAATTTGCACCAAGAACCCTATCCAGTTTGTTTGCTTTGTGTTTTGTGGTCCCGGGATTTGAACTCAGGGCCTACACCTTGAGTCAGTGAAGGGTTTTTCAAGATAGGGTCTCTAGAATTATTTTCCTGGGCTGGCTTTGAACCATGATCTTCCTGACCTCTGCCTCCTGAGTAGCTGGGATTACAGGCGTGAGCCACACATGCCGGCTCTCCCCAATTTTTTTTCTTTATTTCATTTTTTGCCCTCTGACAGAGTGGCATTTCTATGCTCTATTTTTCTCCCTGTTGTGTTTATCTTAGCCATTTTAATGTGAATATTTAACTTGACAAAGTTTAGCATTAATCAAAATATTTACCCTCTTCTCAAACAATTCAAAAATCTCAGAGCATTTTAGTTATGGCTTCCTCTCCGCTGTATGTGTTTAGCATCCAGCGCTTCAGCTCGCTTTCTGAACTTTGCAAATTGGAATTGTCCTTCTTGCTAATACAGTCTCTCATTCGATCATTCGATCATTCGATATTAGTTTTCTTTCTTCCTGAAGCAGACTGTCGGCAAGGTAGTCATAAAGTACCATGGGCTAGTTTCTTCAAAACAGAAAGTTACTGAGATCTGGAGGACCAAGGTTCGAGGCCAGCCCAACAAATAGTTCTTGAGACCCCCATCTCCAAAATAACCAGAACAAAGTGGATTGCAGCTGTGGCTCAAGCAGTAATGCACCTGCTTTGCAAGCTTGAAGCCCTGAGTTCAAATCCCAGTCCCACCAAAAACAAAAATAAAAAACCCAGGAATTTGTTTTTCTCACAATTCTGAGGCTGGAGGTCACTGTGGGCAGCTTTTACTCCTAAACCTGACCTCTGCCCCCTGGGTCCTCCTGTGACCATCCATTTGTGATGGGTTTTTTCGAGATAGGGTCTCGTGAGCTATTTGCCCGGGCTGGCTTCAAACCTCGATCCTCCTGACCTCTGCCTCCTGAGTAGCTGGGATTATAGGCATGAGCCACCAGCGCCCCCAAACACCTTTCTCTGACACTGGGGTTTGAACTCAAGGTCTCATGCTTGCTAGGCAGGCGTGCTACCACTTGACCCATTCCTTCAGTGCTTTTTTTGAGACAGGGTGTTGCTTTCTCCCTCCTAGGGCAGGCCTAGAATGAGATCCTCCTGGTCACAGCCTCCCTTGGACCTCGCGATGACAGGTGCACACAGCACCCAGCTATTGGTTAAGTTGGGGTCTGGCAGGCTTTTGGCCTGACTGGCCTTGAACCTTGATCCTCCCTATCTCAGCCTCCTAAGTAGCTAGGATTGCGGGCACCAGGATGAAGGTGGTGGTGATGGTGGTGGTGATGGTGGTGGTGACCACATGACATTTCCATCTGTTCACCTCTGTTTGAGATGTTCCTTTTTCTTTTTGCCGTACTGGCGTTTGAACTCAGGGCTTCACCTTGAGCCACTCCACCAGCCCTGTTTTGTGATGGGCTTTTTGAGATAGGGCCTCGTGAGCTGTTTCCTGGGGTGACTCCCAGGCTGCTGGGCCTCTGATCGATCCTTGCCCTATCACCCATCTGGAGGGGAGTCCAGGCATCATGTCCTGAGATCTGAACACAGGCTGGGAGGGGCTTCGGCGTCCCCTCGTCGTCACCAACTTAACTAACACAGAGCGCCCAGGAAAGCCAGTGTGTGGCCATCTGTTTACAAAGTTCGACTTGCCTGCTCCTTTTAGGAACGCTAGACTAGAGTGCTTACACGAACATGTCTTCATTTATCCAACCAGACCACTTTCTTCTTATCTAAAATCTTAGGTAGAGGGACTGGGTCTTTCTATGTTGCCTGGGCTGGCCTTGAACTCCTGGCCTCAAGGGATCCTCCTGCCTCAGCCTCTGATGCAGCCGGGACTATAGACTTGCAGTACTAAACCCGGCGGGTGTTTTCTTCTGTTTCCAAGGCTTCCCACATATTAAATGCAGGCTCTATTACTGAGCTATCTTCCCAGAGTCCTGGGTTTTTTTTTTTTTAATATCATGCAATGAATTCTTGTTATTCTAAGCGCATAGTCTCTGATCCCTAAGCGATAGCAATGTTACAACTCCCTGGCTCTCGGTTCTGTGCTGTGCCCTTTCTACTCCTTAACTTACTTTCTACTTATCGAGGCCCTATTTCTAGACTGATGTTACAGATAAGAAAACTAAGTCTCAGAGACTTTCGGTGACTCATTCAAGGTCACACAGCACAGGTGGTGGAGCCAAGCTCCCTATCTCTCATATTTTCCCCCAAACCCACACTGTGAAGCCATTGAAGACTAGCCATTGAGACAATGCTAGTCTTCACTGTGTTGTCCAGTACAGGATAACCTTGAGGACCCCGGTGACCAGAGCTGATCAGTCATCTGAAGACCCTAAAAGACACCCGAGCTCCCTCCAGGGAGGCTCTGATTCAACAGATCAAGGATTTATTGGGGCCAGGCCCCGTGCTGAGTGTCTTACGCTGCATGTTCTCACGATCAATGGAGGGAGTTACTAAGAAATAAGAAAACAATCCTGTTTAAAGGGCATGCGAACAGTAAGTGGTCCCGTGAGATTTAACTCAGACCCCACTCTCAACCACGACTGTTATATAAGACTTTTGGGGGTGAGTTTCTGAATGATTGCAATGATGAGCTAATTATTTTTAAAAGGTGCATTTGACTGGGATTCTGGAAGGAAAATGGCTTAGGAACAGCTTTCTCCCTAACCCTAACAAAAGCAGCTGAATCTCATGGGTAATTCCCAGCTTTCCGGCCACGTCCCAGTCGGCTCCGGGAGGATCCTGGACACACAGGCTGACCCAACCTGGGAACCAAGGGAGAATCTTTCTGTACACCTGGCACTTCTGGCCACGCCCTATACCCAGAAACCTCCAATCCCAAGCTCGTTTGCCGTGATTGACACGCCCTCAGAGCAATTATCACCGGCCGTGAAGGACGGCAGCCCCGCCTCCCCGATGACACCGCCTCCCTTTCATTCTGAAAGAAAGAACCTCACTCGGGAGTCCAATGAGAAGCGCCTCCACCCCAAAGATCCCGCCTCTTTCGGCGCCGACCCCGCCCCTAAGCGCGCCCGCCCCTCAACGTGAGCCACACCAATAGAAAGGCTCGCTCGGCCGGCCGGAAGGCCGCTGGTCCAATCCGCGGAGACTCCCGCGGCACCGCCCCGCCCGCCGCGCCCTTCCACCCTCCCCGCCCCTCAAGCCGGCCGAGCCGCGGCCGGGCGAGTGCGGGGTCTCGGGGCGGCGGCGGCGGCGGCAGCAGCAGCGGACGGGGCCTGAGGGAGCGTCCATGGCGCGCGGGCCCCGGCGGGGCGCGGCCGCGGCTTGAGGGGCCATGTCGGGGTGGTGCGGACCCTCAGCCGCTGCCTGCTGCCGGCCGAGGCCGGGGCCCGCGAGCGCAGGGCGGGCGCGGCGCGCGACGCGGAGCGCGAGGCCCGACGGCGCAGTCGCGACATCGACGCGCTGCTGGCCCGCGAGCGGCGCGCCGTACGGCGCCTGGTGAAGATCCTGCTGCTGGGCGCGGGCGAGAGCGGCAAGTCCACCTTCCTGAAGCAGATGCGCATCATCCACGGCCGCGAGTTCGACCAGAAGGCGCTGCTGGAGTTCCGCGACACCATCTTCGACAACATCCTCAAGGTGCGCGGGCCCCGCCCCTGCCGCCCACCTGCGTCCCGGCGGCCCCCGGGTCCTCATCGGGGTCACCTGCCGCCTCCCGTGGCCCCCGATCGCTTTGGGGATGGTGGGAGTGGAAGCTGGGTGACTTCGGGGGGGGGGTCTTCGGGATGGACGCGCCATCGGGGGTGGCATCCCTGGCCATCTGCAGTGGGGTGAGCGCCCCAAACTCGCCCTGCCCTCCAGCGAGCCCCGAAAGGCAATGCAGGGGACTCAGCCACCAGTTTTAAGTTTTCATTTTATTATAGTTGTTATTTTTTGGCGGCGCTGGGATTTGAACTCAGGGCCTCATGCTTGCCAGGTGGTGCTCTACTGCTTGAGCCACTCCACCAGCCTCAGTTTTAAGTTTTAAAGGTTTTTTTTTTCCCCCCGTGGGACTGGGATTTGAACTCAGGGCTTTGCACTTGCAAAGCAGGTGCTCTGTGGCTTGAGCCGCACCTCCAGTCTCCATTTTGATCTGGGTGTTTGTGGAGATGGGGTCTCTAGCACTTGTTGGCCCAGAGTGGCCTCCATCTCTGATCCTCTATCTCAGCCTCTCAAGTGGCTATGATTATAGGCGCGGGCCACCGGCGCCTGTCATTTTTACAGTTTTTAGAAGGGAAATTTCAGATCTATACAAAAATAGAGAAGGTGGTAGAGGAAGCTGCAGGGTACCCACCTCCTGCCTTCAACCAGGGTTAGTTGGGTGCCAGGCGCTTACCTTTGGCCCTCCTGAGATCAGACATTGGGTAGCTGCATTAGAAAACATTTTAGTTGGTGCTGCTAAAGATGAGACTTCGTTTTAAAAACCACTTTAAAATGGTAACCACAGTACCATTATGAAACCTAAAACTTCGTGGTCACTCCTTCGTAGCCAGTGACCCAAGTGTCCTCCACTCAGTGGCTGGCCTTCCTCCATTGTTGCATGGCTGTCTCCGTTTGTTTGAACTGGACATGCATGTCCATTTGTGTCTCTTGCTGCTGTGTTGGTAAAAGAAGCGGTAGTGGTGACACCTGGGTCCCCCATTGTGTCACTGCAGGAGTGCCATCCTGCACCTAGACGCTTCCTCTAGCGTACCTGTCCCCTTTCCTGGCCCCACTCTCCCTTTCTCCCAAGTGCTTTTTGGAGAAGGTAAATGACAGGTCTGAGGAATGTCTCGAGCAGAGGTGGAGAGCATGTGTCATACCAGAAAACCTGTCTGGAGACTGGATTTTTTGCTGCCCGAGGGGTTCAAAATCAGCAAAGGGCCCTAGAAACCCTTGGGGTTTGAAGTCACCTTCTAGGCTGTTTCTTCACTGGGACCCCAGGAAGCTCCTCACAGGGCGTCCTGCTGGGTCCTGGGCCAGACCTCCAGGCCGCAACGCCCACTCCACATTCTTGTTTGCTGAGTGTGATTTGATGGCAGTAGCCCTTGTGGGATGGCGATGGGAAAAGAACCCAGATGATGGAATGCGCCCATCCTTTCACCTGTCAGTCTGCGGGTCTTCATAAACCGGGTCCCCTCATCGTCTGGGTAAAGTGCACTCGGGGTCGCTCCCCTGGACACGGCGGATCTGTCTGGCTCTCTCTGCTCTTTCACTCAGGCAGAAAAAATACTTAGAAACATAGCTCTCCCACCTAAGTCTGTGTGTCAAATGCATTTCAGAAAACGTAGCTTTCGCCTTTCCCTCTGCACGCAGACATTGGCCTCTGCGGGTTTCTAGTCCACAGAGACGAGATTTGTTAAGTAGCATTGTTTCCTCCTGTCGTTAATAAGGTGTACTTTCATTTAAACCCACTCCACCTGGCCGGAGCATTCAGTAACTAGTTAGAAATTCGTTTTTATTTGGCCTGATCACTTTGGGAAGGGACTCTTAAAATAAGTTGCTTTGTGGTGGCTTTAGTTGTAGACATCTGAGTGGTTCCGAATAATACTTACGCAGAGATTCAGCGCTATTTTTAAAGCACTGCATAATAATGCTAGAACCTTTGGTGAACGGCGGTTAATTTTCAGAACATTCCACATGGTATTGTTGTGTTTAGCCGATGAGGGAATCAGGGCGGAGAGTTAAACTCAAGGTCCGCTGCCTAAGTAGTAGGCGACCGAGCTGGGAACCAAACCTAGGGCTTTTTTTTTTTCTTCTGTTTTGCAATGCTGGGGATCAAACCCCTGGCCTGTTGCCCCTGCTAGGAAGTGCTGTGCTACCGAATGGCTCCTCACCCCCTTTTCGTAAAACTGAATTTTAAGATACCCTCAGAGTCCTGGTACTTGCAGCAACACTACAGAGTTCACAGCCCCTTACTCACTGTCCCTCAGCGTTAAAGTCTTGTAAAGCTGTAGCACAGTGTTACAACCGGGATTGTTGACATGGTGCATTTCCATCATTACAGGGCTCCCTTACATCACCCTTCTGTAGCCAGCCCTCTTCTCCTCTCTGCAGCTGGGGCAGTAACTAACTGATTCTCCAGTTCTGTAATTTTGTCATTTCAGGAATATTATAGGTGCTGAGAGTGTGGCTCAAGTGATTGGAGCAGAGGCCTAAGTTCAATCCCCGGTACTGAAAAAACAAATCAAGACTATAATAAAGTGGAGCATGGTAGCACACGCCTGTAATCCCACACTGGGGAGGCTAAAGCAGGAGAATCTGCAGTTTGAGGCCAGCCTGGACTACATAGCAAGACACTGTCTCAAAAAATGAACAAAAAAAAAAGAATATCCTACACTTGGAATCATGAGGAATGTGATTTCAGGATCGGCTTTTATCACTTCTCTTATTCTCTGTAGGTTCTCACGCAAGTGGTTGGTTATTATCAGTAATCCTTTCTTATTGCCAAATGGTGCACGTTGAATAGTCGCCTGTTGAAGGATGTCAGGCTTGGTTCCAGTGTCTGCCCTGGATACATAAATCTCTCTCTTTTTTGCGGGGGGAGGTGGTACTGGGATTTGAACTCAGGGCTTACATGTTGAGCCACTCTACCAGCCCTTTTTTTCTGAAGGACTTTTTCAAGATAAGATCTCTCAAACTATTTGCTGGGGCTGACTTTGAACCGTGATCCTCCTGATCTCTGCCTTCTGAGTAGCTAGGATTACAGGCATGAGCCACCAGCTCCTAGCTGGGAGGTCCTTATATACACTAGATGCCAGTTCTTTCTCATATATGTGGCTCAGACATACTTTGTTTCAGTCTGTGGATTGTCACTTCATCCTCTGCAGCGGGGTAGAAGAAATCGTGATCCAGGCCTGCCAGGCTTAAACGACTGAGTTCAAGCCCACACTAAAAAAAAAAAAAAGCCAGACATGTCTGTGTAGGTCTGTTTCTGAGTTCCGTGTTCTGTTCCGTTGACGTGTTTGTCCTGCTAGTGTCACAGTGTTGGTTACTGTGGGATGTAAGTGAGCTTTCGTACTGATTTCGCCCACTTCACTTTGCCTTTTTAAGTTTGCCTTAGTTCTTCCGTATCAGTTTGAGAAATGAACTTATCTGTGTCTGTATAAACCTTGCTGGGACATCGATAGCAGCTGCGTTAACCCTGTGAATCCCCTGGAGAGGGCGACCCCTCTGCTCTGTTGAGTTTTCCAGCCCACAGTCACAGAATGACTTCATTTAAAACTTTGAGTTTTGTTGTTCTGTTTGCTGTATGGGGACTTGAACTCGGGGCCTCACGCTTGCCAGGCAGGCACGCTACTACTGTTTGAGCTACCCCGCCAGCCCAGGCTTGGTTTTCTTCCACAGTCTTTTCCACTTTTCAGCACACATCCTGGGTGTTTTATTAGGTTTCCACCTAAGGACCTGGTTTCTCTAAAGCCGCTGTGGATGACACTGTGCTTTTGCCTTCAGTTTCCACGCGCTCCTCATCCCCGCAAACCACGTGAGTGACCCTGAGTCTGACTGACTTCGGTGAGCCGGCGTTGGCAGGCGGGGCCTTGCTGACATGGTGGTTGCAGAGCTCCTGTGGCTCCCTCGCTATTTCCTCCAGGGACCCTCATGTTATCTGCCCCTTCCCTCCCGCCTGGGTTGCCTTCTAATCTCTTGTTTTCTAGTTTTACCGCGATGGCTACACTGTGTGTGTTATGCTGAGTAGGAGCTGAGCGCACTGCTGCCTTCGGGATTTTCCCTGGCATTGGTCATCGTGTCTTCTCCCTTCCTCCCTCCCTTCCAGAAAATCAGCTTTTTATTCCATCGATTCCCCCGCCCACGGTTTTCCTGTTTCAAGTTCATTTATTTCTGTTTTACTATTTTTGGCTTTCTATTTTCTTTGGATTTTTTTCCCTCTGGTTTCTTTTCTTTTCTCATTTTGTAGAGCTGGGGGGTCAAACCCAGGGCCTTGCACCTGTGGGGCAGGTGCTCCAGCACTGAGCTGCCCCCACCTTCCCTGGTTTCTGGAGGTGGAGACTTGGGGGGCCTTTGGTCTTTCCTAACAGACATCTTAAGGGCTCCAACTTCCCCCTCGGTGCCGCGTTAGCCGTGGCCGCACACGTTTTTGTTCTGTCTTGCGTGTGTGTTACTTCTTTTGAGGGGGACGTGGTGGCTTGTAAACCTTGACAAATGTTCCCTTACTCTCGCTGTTTGTACTCGGGCTCCGTGAGGGCCGGGCGCACTCTGATGATCTCAATTCTTTTCGCTCTGTTTGGCATCTGTTTCATCACGTGATGACGAGCACCCTGTGGCACTTTGGTGCAAATGTTCGTGTGCCTTGGTGGGCGGTGGTGCTGACCCGGGGCCTTGCTCACCTGTTTGGCAGGTGTCAGCAGCTGAGTGGGTGTTGAGTCCCAGCTACAGGTGGACTCGCTGTTTCATGCTTAGGCCACAAGCTTTGTCTCCTGGACTGTGGTGTTCTGTGTGCATGAACGTGGTGAAGTTTGATGGCTGCCTGCACCCTGACCCTTGTGCTATGCAGTGTTCCTCTGTGTCTTTACAGATGTCCCTTAGCTTACGATGGGCTGTCCCCGTGCACTGGTGCTAAGATGAAGCTATGGCAGCTAAAACTGGGTTTAAGTCACACCTGG